ATCTGTGAATACTGGAGTCCAACTCAATACTGTTGACTGTGTATTGATGAAATACATCATCAAGACAGGAAATCAAGCATTTTCTTAGAAAATATACAAAATCCAGGGTCAAAATGCTCTGTTCTAATATAAAAGACGTGTTGGTTATAGCCGAAAAAATAACAAGGAATAGATTCAATGAGAAACTCACTGTAGGATTGACATTGATCTGAATGTAACTAAAGAGACAAAGAAGTCAGACATTCTTTGGAGAGTCAGACTATTGCTTGATGATGTTAGGCAAGGGTTCCTCATCCTTCTAGCAAGGCTGGACAAACTTAATTGCTCACAATCACGTTGGCTTGTAGTTTTAAAAGTTACAAGTTATTCAACATTTTTATGAGCAACAGTTTTTTTGCTGGGAAATAATGTCTAATATGGTTATCTTCGACTATGTTGCGCCAGAGTTTACTTATATTTTAAGACATTTAATTGCCTTTGTGCACACTTGTATCAGACTGGATCAAATGTTAAGCAGCACAGGTCAATATCAGTTATTACTCTCTGTGTAAAGCAAAGTTCATTCGAAAATTTTGTGTAAAGTAAATCATTTTTTTGGTGTAAGGTAAAGTAATTAAAAATGTGGTTCCTAATTGAATATTAGAAGTGGTGAAGTAAAGTACAAGATTAATTCAAAATATAAAAATTAAAATGGAAAAAGAAATAGCGAAATGTAAGATATTCCTTCTTTATTACTAAGAGGAAAATATTCGTCATGGATTATCAGCAGTAAAGTATTTATATGAATTGAAAACAAAGAACTAGTTTTAGCATTTATGAGTTTTGTAGTAGTTCACAGTTCTGAAATCTGTGGAATGTTGTGCTAAAATGTAACATATTACAGAATATAAAAAAAAAAAACTAGTTGTTATAAAATCAAAAAAAGTAATTTCTTACTTTTTAATAAAGTCAGTTGTAATTTCACACTGTAAATTGTCCTGTTGTTCACTATTGTGCCAGGCTCTAAAACTAAAATAAAGGTTACAAATAAATAAAATTGTGAGGTGTTAGGCCTACATAAATTGGAAATAACATAAAAAAAAAAAAAAAAGGAATTGGATTACACTTCTTTTTCTTGCCAGGTCTCAGTAGGCTATTGTTTAAAGTGACATACTAATGTTTCATATTTAGGTTAAATTCAACTTTATTTAATCAAACATGTTTATTAACATTTCTGATTGTACTTTGCATGGGCCAAAGTAAAAAGTTTAAGTAAATCAAAGATATACAGACATATTAAAAAGAATCTTGTACTGTAGCTTTTTTTGTTAAAGCTGATAGGTCAGTATTAATTGTCCAGCTGCTAAAACACTGGATGATATTGATTATTAATTATATTATTAGCAAAAATACTTCTGTTCTGATTGTAATACACAGATATAAGCATATGTCTATATTTAGTAGAAGTAGTTTAGATTATTTCTTTCTTTTTACCTTTCTGATCTTCCATAACAAACTGGTATAAGCTGTTAAACAGTCAGGCTATATACTCTTGTATCAAGCCTGCAGTCTGCTTCTAGATAGACATTCAGCTTAGATTAAAATGAAAAACACAGAGTAAAAGCTTTAACCACAAAGATTTTCACTTTCATAGGTAGGTAAAAAAAAAAAAAATCTCTTGGATGTTAGCTGACAGTGTGCAGTAAAGGAGGGTTTGGGCTTGTGCTGCATAACTGTTCTGGAGAAAACTTCAGACACTACTTATCTGACATCTCATTGAATGGACTTTAAACTGCTGATAAAAAATGTACATGTTCAAACACTTGGTATACCCAGTATCCATCCAAACCGTTTTTTAGGGGATCTCATTTTGATACTTCATCTTTTTATCAAATTGCAATGCCTTCTCTTAGAGATAAATAGAAATAGCAGAAAACTACATACAACATTAATGAATAGGAAGAAATGCAACACATTTCAAAAACAACATTTTACTAAGTATTGTCCAGATTTAAAAGCTAATGGTACAAGTTCTTCTTAGAACTCAGCTGATTTGATAAAATGTTTGTACTTCTTTGTTCTGGAATGCAAATCAAATTTCCCTCTCCCGCTGTTCAGGCTCAGCCAAAATTAAGTTTAGCTTGGGTTTCTACGATAATGATCTAAAATTAATTTTCAATTTCAAGGATTTCTTTTGCCATCCATAAAAATGAAAAACAAAATCTCCAGATGTCTTCACAACTCTTATCATGCCTTGTGTTATGCGACTGTTCGGCTGCACATCAAGTTGTTAAAAGATAATTTCTTTATCTTCCTACTGGATGATCCGAATGTACATCTAAGTCATCCTCTTTATGCAACTAGAAATTTTTTTCAAGTTCTGAAAAATATCTGAGGAGCTATTTGACTTCACAGTGCTGGTATGATTGAGGCAACCTGCTATTGTCTCTTCTGGGCCAAAATGATATGGCCACATTGATCAATAGTCTCTGTTACACATGATTTATTTCCCATGGCTCAGGCTGTCTGCTTTGTTCCATCTGTCCCCGGCTCTTGCAAATTTCTACTGCCTCTCTTTCTCTCGAAGTCTCACATACACACAAACTTGACATGCATGCTTTTTCAGAGCCATGTCCAGGTTCCCTTGAGAATGGGGACCATTTAGCCACAAAATAGGACTTCTGCTGCCTTTGAACCATGCCTATGAAAAATAATGTTTGTCTGAAACATAACTAGGTTCATTAAGTAAGAGTTGCACAATGTGCTTACCCTTAGGCATACTTAAAAAAAAGCTAAGAAAAAAATCAACACATTATTTTTTTATTATTTTGTAAAGGAATTATGTAAATGTCCAGCTTTGCTTGATTAAACCTGATCACTTTAAAGGTGAAAACACACATAAATTGAGTTGTTGGCTAAATAGGCAAGCCAGCCAATGATTGGACAATGTTGGCCTGTTTTAATCAGTTCATGAAAAAAGGAAAAAGAAAATAATGTATCACCAGTCTGTCACTGTTATATATTATCTTAGAGACCATCATCTAATAATTGTTTATTGCTGATGGACCATGAAATGAACAATTAGATCTGGACATCAATATATTTCACACTTTAATGCTGATGTGGAATGCTAAGTGAAGTGAATCTTTATACAGCTAAAACATCAACAGCGATCATCTAGCCTTTGATCTCCCTTACAGAAATGCTTTTTATGGATTATTTAGCATATGGTCTGTTTTCTCATTAAACGTTCGGTAGGACATTTTTTCTCATTCTTCCAACAGAGTTATTCAAGAGTAATTTAAACAAAGAAAAAATAAAACAAAAGTGTAACATCATAGCAAATACCATTTCCTATCTTGGCTGTGCTGACCACTGTAAAATCCACATGATTTCTTCCAATACAGACACAATATGTCCTTTTAAAAAGGTGCAAAATGTAATGTCTCGCAAAACCTCACCTTTAGGCGCATGTAACAAGTGTTTTCTAAAACAGCAGGATGCATAGGAAGTAAATGCAACAGATAATTTAAATAATAAAATTAATTGTTTAACTTTTTTTCTTCACACTGAGAATTAATTGACTTGAGTAATGATGTTTAACCTACTTATGAGAAACAGTATGTGTTCAGATAATTATTAGCACAGATAATCACAAAGTTGATCTTTCCTTCCATTTTCCTTCAAATTCAACCATTACACAGTAAAGAAATAGATATATAGCTAACTTAAAAGCAATTAATGCTGTTACTGGATCATTGCAGCGGTGGAAAAAACATACACCCTTTTCTGTGGCAGAAATGTTGCTTATTTGTCCATCAGCCTGGCTTAGATGGTCAAATTCATGCTACATTGTCAAATAAGAGGAAGCCGGTGTGTTATTTTCTGGTGGCACTGCTTGTTTCATGGAATTAATATACTGTAAAATAAACCAAGGTAAATAATGTAATGAATAAACACAAATCATTACATGTATTTGTGAATTTTTTTTTGTAGACTGGCTCATTATTGTCTTAAAAGACTAGTCTTGAACAGTGTCGGGACTCTGAATATTCCAAATTATCTTTAAAAAATCAGATTAGAGCTTAACCGTTTTGCCAAAAATAAAAATTGTGATTATTTTAACCAATGTTGAGATTTCAATCTTATTTCAACTTTCCTTTGCATTAACCCCCAGCTTGTAAATGTACTAGCTGCAAGTCTCTTTATCTTTCTGTGTGGTTGCTAACCCACCTTAAGCATATTACTGCCACCTAAAGGGAGTGAGACATTTAGCATCCTACTGTTGTTAAATGTGATGGGACTAAAATTTAATGTTTCTGCGATTTGAAAATTGCATTTTGTTATATTGTGATTATATTTCAGTTGCAATAGATTGCATACTCCTATTTCAGATCCGTCTTGTTTGATTTTACAAATGTCCTGCCTTTTAGAGCCCATTCTGAAAACATCATACATGCCTGTTAAAGACATTGTACTTAGAATTAGCTGCAACGCTGAAAGTCGCATCTGGACGCATTGGGCTACACATATTGTTTCCATGGTCATTGAGAGAAGACGGACATTTAAAAAAGCCCTTTACAGAGGCAAATCCAGCATTTATTAGATACAATTCTTTAGGTGTTAACAAATTCAGCTATGCCTTCACTGCCTCTTTGATCATTTGTTTAACGCTTACTGTATATTTATTCATTTTGATATAGTTCAGCAGCCTTCTTGAATTTTACATCAGAAGACTAATAATGAATGCTCTCTTTCTTATTTTAACTGTATTTTTATTAGTAATGAAAAAAAAAATAAAAAAATAAATAATCAAATTTAAGTTATGCTTTTTAATAACATTAGATTAAGCAGATATCTCATTGGAGACTTATTTTTTAAATTGTTGCTGTTTGAAGATGAATCCATTTTTTTTTTTTTTTTTTTCTGCTCATACAGGGATTTCACATCATTAATTAAGCATCATCTTGTATTTTGATATCATATCCAATTGAGCTAATCCTCTGTGTGTCAATCTGCAGGCCTGTATGGTGTCAGAAACGCTGAGCTGTGAAAGGAACAGCTCAGTACTCGAGCGCCTGGGCTCAGCAGGAAGAACCTCCGCAACCACTTCCAGGTGGAAATCAGACACCATGTGGGCCAGCTGCTTGATCTTCTTCTCAGCTTTGATCGCACCTATTGCCATAGGTAAGTAACAAGCCCAGATTTATGATCCCACCTCATAACCTGTGTTTTTGCTTTGGAAACATTTCTACCTCTAAGATCACCTGCAATATTTATTTATATCCTCCTATGTTTTATCACTATGTATACTGGCAAAATTAACTTTTACACGGCACATATATGGACAGCATTGATGGAGCCCTAGTAGGTAATGTGCACGTTTTCTCCTCTCCCCTGTGACAGTTGGCTTTGAAGTCTCCAAAACAGAGCTTTGGCCCACTTGGACTTAATCCCATTAATGGCCACTGTCAATCACACTGTGCCTACTGTGTGCTTGTTCACACGCCTGCTGCCACACAGATGAAATGCTTTAAATGCTCAAATACTCGACTCCCACACGGACCCTCTTCAGACACACACGCACATACGCGCTGAACCCTCCCAAGCAAGCAGCCACTCGAGGCACACAAACAGCAAGGGCTTTGCTTCCGCACCGAGAGATGAGTTTCAGTTGGAGGTATTTGCATCAATGTCTGAAGAATAAGTCGGCAAATGCAAATCAGGGTGTTTATACTCAGTGAGGATTAGCTGAAACAATGAGTGTTTTGCTTGAAGAAACATGGAAGCAAGCACCACATCTTCCCCACCAAATCAAGTCTTGTTATTATTACAGGTTTATGAACACAATGTATAAGATGAAAATATTCAGAGCAAAATGTAAATGCGTATTTATGTAAAACTGAACTATAGCTGCGAAAGTTGACCTGTAGATTTTAAAGGCCACATTATTCAAGGGTACTGTGCTAATTGAGATTCCTTTCCCTCTACTGTAATTGCTGCAGCTATTTTTTGTGTCAGAAAAGATATAAATCATGCCAGATGTTTCTGATATTATATTCGATTACAGATGCACAAATCAAAGATCATAATATCACCAGGTTATATGAAGAAATCTGTTTGGGTCTTTTTCATGTTTATTCAATTCATCAAATCAAATAAATCTAAGTAAACAAACCGCTTTAAAAAAAAATAAAAGTCATATAGAGGAAAAAAATTGGGTAAAAAAAACTTAAACTCCTTAATATTCCTTTGGAATCAAAACTACTACCTCTGTCAAGAACCATAAGATCATTTTACTGTGCTTTGTAAACCATAATGTGAAAAATCAAATCACCTTTACATTTTTCTCCCTCGTCACTGAATATTAGTTTTACATACAAATACATACATATCCCAACTATGGGTATTACATTCGTTTTACTATTATTTTAGATTTGTTTCTCAATATTTTTTTATTGTGTTCAAACTGAGATTTCAACATCCATCATTCACTACAGTAGGAAAACTTGACTGGCTGCTGATTGCTTGGGACCTTAACAAAAGATAATAAAAGAAGTTTGTCTGCCATTGGTCATTCTGTAAAGGCCTTTGCAGTTTTGGTCCTTCGTTATTTACCTGTCAAGATATTTTATAGTCTCTAAAAAATATGATTTAAAGTAACAACAATAATTGATAAAGTAATAAGCATTTTAAATGCATTATTATTCGTTTCTATAATTTGTACTTGCAGTTTAAAATTATGAAAGTTAAACTGATTTTCTTTATTTTACAAAATATATTGCTATAGGAATACCAATGGAAGTTGGTCAATACAATTATGAAATTGGAGAACTTGGATTATTTTTGGTTTCAAAATTAACCAAAGTACTGTAGAACCAAGACAGTTAAGCTCATATGGAACACTGGGTATAAAAGATAGGAGTAAATTAGAAATATGTTTGGACAACATGACATCCATTGGTTATGCAATGGGGGAATGGGATGAGCTATTGACCCTGAGCCATCTGACTTCCAACAACTTCCATCATGTTTTCTATGGGTTAAATATTTATTAAAGCCAATACCTCTTTAACAGTAAAAAGGGGGAAAAAATACCCTTGTAGAAAACCAGGAAACATAACAAATTAAAGGATGTTTAATTCGGTATAGAAATCAAAAACAGAGGATTCCAAAAAATGGGTGCTGAATGGAAGTCATTGGCATCAAAAATTTAGAAGAAAATAAAATCACTCTGTTTAGTTTAATAAAGAGCATGAAAACAGCTGAAAAAAAAATATTGGAATCCAGCCTTGACATCTGGAATTGTTGCATATTTTCTGTGAAACATCATCAACATCTAGAGAGGTCAGAGATAACAGAGTTTTTTCTTTCATTGGCTCTCAGATAAAATAATTTAGTTAGACTTTTCATTAAGGTATTTTTTCACTTCTAATAATGGTTTATTTTACTCTGAGGAGGGACATTTTTCCGCCACGCTTTGGCAATTCAAATGAGAGATCACCTTTTAACTCTCTCTCCTATTCCTTTTACCCTCTCATTCTCCTTCCTTCCATCCTTCCAGCTCTTTCGCCACTCTCTTGTTCTTGGCCCAAATGCAGAAATCAATATCCTTTTGTTTCATCCGCACCCCCTCGAGGCAATGAGAGCAACTGAATAAGATTGTCTGTACCGTCCACAGCTGCCAAGTTTCTGTCGCCACTTGCACAACTAATGACAGACACATTAACGTGCACTTACGGCTCACACGTTATTAGATGAAGAGAAAGATGGGGAGCTGGTATCTGTATGTCAGTGGATGTGTTTGTAATCTTTCTGTATCAAAAGGCTGAATGTTCTTTGTTAGAAAGTAAAATGTGTTAGAGGAGATCTCTTTGGAGGCAGGGTGAACAATACAGTACTGGACTCATTGGAGATATTGTAAAAATATAAAGAATAAGGTGACGGATGGGAAAGGATTATCTGTGACAGTCAGGACATTTTGCTCATTTTGCTCTGAGTGCTTTTCAGCTAACCTAACCTTACCGCTACTTGATCATTTTAGATTACCATTTTATTACCCTGATATTCTTTTTTTCATGGATTCAGTGTGATTCTTACAAAATTATAGCTATAACTTTAAAGATATGAAACATGGGCCAATTCAAAAGGAAATGCTTCCCAAAATGTAAAAGCCAAAATAGGACCAGGTTGCTCGTGTTTAAAACAAAAAAAAGTTTGGAGTCAGATGTTTTCAAACTGGTTATTCCAAACTAAAACACCTTTAAAACCATTCTATAATACATAATAAATAGTACAGGTGATTATTTTGTAATTTGGAAAGTCTTTGATCTGTTTCAAAGTTGGCAGGAGTTGGGTTTGGCCCCTTTATTCTGGTATATGCTACAGCATGTTCCAGATAGTTCTGGAAAGGCCCCTTCCTTTTCTAACATGGATACACTAGGTTCAAAGCAAGGTTCATAACGACTTCAATAAAAAAAAATTGGTTTGTAAAAAATGTGAATGTTTTCCCAGAGTCCTGGTCAGAGCCTGCCACAATACCTTTGGGATGAATTAAAGTGCAGACTAAAAAAAAAAAAAAAAAAAAAGGCCTTCTAATTGAACTGAATCAGTGTTTGACCACAGAAAAGCTCTTTTGGAAGAATTGCTAAATTCTGATAATCCCATTCAGACACCCGGTGGAAAGCCTCTTGAAGCTGTAAGGGATGTGCCAAACACATATTACACCCTGAGGAGTAAGAGTGGGATATCACTTATGATAATATGTTTCGGCATTACCTTCAAATGACTCTACAAGGCTAAATGAAACCTCCTGAAAAACCCAACAGTGGACATCTAACATCTGAGGCTCATCACAGATACGGGCTCATACTTTGTCGGATTAATGAATTTACGGTAATTCTTAAAAAAAACATTACAAGCTAAGAATAGGGTGATTATGTTTAAAAAAGAGACCTTTATTAGATCTTTGTTCTACTTGTTAAAGAAATGATTTACCTAGGTATTTGCTGAACAAACTTCTTCAGGTTTGCTGTGAATTATTGGGGCCTGTACTGGAGGCAGTGGAAACTAAGTAAGATAACTCTTACTAAGCAAGTATAGCAATGAAATTGGTTTTGTGAAAAACCGACCATGGTTCTCACAATGTTTTATAAATAAGATCAAAGAAAGTGCGGTTCTCACTGTTTTTATCCCCATTTTACTGTACTTACAAGGGTTGTGTCTCTATATCTAAAGGTAGTTTTACATAGTGTCATGATTTTATGAAGAGCACGGACCCACATGCAGAGAAACCAATACAGAGAGACCAGGGAAAAAGTTTTAACAGGTTTATTGAGAAGCTTGTGGAGATTCCAGTGTTGCTCTGAACACTGCTCAACCGGAACTGAAAGGTGAGGGGAAGACACTGCGGTTAGTTCAGGTTCAGTGGGAAAATTGATTCTCGAACTTGAAGAGGAGAAAAGGTTTGCAGACTCACGTTTCCAGAAAAGTGGTTGACTATTTGACTCCAGTTGGTGTGGGGTGTTCCAGTGTTTGTCTCATTCGTTGGAGGGCGGACAGGGTTTACCCTGAATGCGGTTGTTTGTAGAAGAACGGAGAAACTGACTGCCACTGAGATTTCCTGCGGTAATTGAACGGACTGTGGCGCAGAGGAATCCCTTGCTCAGTGTGAAACTCAAACGATCCCTTGGAAGAAAGTGCATCAAAACCTCCAGTTTGAATCCCCAGCTCAGTTTGAGGCTCAGTTGATATTCCAGGGAAAGAAGATTCCGAAATGTCCAGTTTTCAGGATGACTTCCTGCCCAGAGGCAAAGACAAAAATAGCAAGATTAAAACTCGGGTTGACAAAAACTCAGGTTGGCTAGAGTACACAAAACTGGCAAACACTCTGGCGTCGAGGTAGTGGCAGTCAGCAGCTTAAAAGCACTCCGTTTATGAGGTAACCCTTTGCAGGTGTGTGAGGAGGTGAATCAGGACCAGGCCTGGTGAAGGAAGGAAGACACACACACAAAACACAAACCACACAGACAGGAGTCCTAACACATAGTTGTTTTTGCAAAGTAACTCGATTCATTTAATGGTATATCAACAAACATATATAGGTTTTTCTATATTATCTTGGTTTGATTTACATCCAGATTTTGACAGAGCCATAAATAAGGATTAGGTGTCCTTTATCAGGGTTTCCTTCAGGATTGCTTTGTTGTTAGTTATGTCAATTGTCTTTTTTACTCTGAATAGCTTGCCTGCCCCTCTTATAAAAAGGTATATCTCTATGGTATGTTGCTTTTACCACCATGGTTCCCCAATAAAACGGGTAATAAAACGGAATTTGCAGGATTTATTTTATTTGGTGCCAGTAGAAGAATATACCTGATTCAGATGGCTAAATTACCACCTAAGTATGCAGTCAAGCTCTCCAGAGTCTTGTTAATGACCTGATTATTTGACTCAGGTATGGTAAGAGAGGCACATTTAAAAGCACAGGAAACAAAACCCTGAAGGTCAAAAATGAAGATCCCTGGTCTAAAGCTGGTAGAGAAAAACTCTCAAAGATTTATAGCCAACTTACCCATGATTGATGGGGGCTGAAGTTTGTGGTCCAAATGTCGAAAAGCACAAAAACAGAAATAATTATATAATTATTAACGTTCATGATATGAATAATCATAGAAAGGCTGTTTTTAAATGTTCAGGCTGAATGAGTCTGTTATTTTATTATTCATATCATGAACGTTGTCTTCTGTCCAGTTGGCACCCTGGGCGGCACCATCATAAGATATTGGCTTCAAAGCAGCAGTATATGTCTGTACTGTACATCAATCTCTATCACTGCCTGACCTAACTTTCTCCACAATATAGTTTCATCCAGACAGAGGAAATCATGATGCAACCACTGAGAAAATGTAAGAAACTAACACTTTGTGCAGTAATGACCCATTGCCTTAAACCTGTATGCTTGCACACACGCAGGCACCCCCTGATGTCCTATCAATTCTTCACTTGCTAACGAGACACACACTGTCTGAATGTGTGCTTAACGTCTAATCATGGCCTGCGGTGATACACACCTATGTGTATGTGTGTGGTTGTGTGTTACTGTGTGTGTTCATTAAAGTAGACATTTTCAGTAAATGTCACTTATATATCAGTCCTATCTCTAAGCGAGAGTCTGCCATTACCAGCTTCGTGCCCGCAGGTAGTGGAATCACATGGATATCATTGACAATGGCGGTGAATTTCTCCCTCTTCATTCCATCACTCAGAGCATTTGTATGCATGTGTGGCCGTGACTCTGTCTGTGTGTCCGTAGGTGTGGGTGTGTGTGTGTGTGAGATGTGGTGAAGGGCAGTATTAAGTTGAGCCCAAGCGGAGTGTCATTGAGCTCATTCAGATTCTTTGCTGCATATGTGTAACCATGACGCTCCTCCAGCTAATGAAAGAGCCAAGGGAGGGAGGACAGGGTTTCTATGGTTACGGTGACAAGGAGAGCAATGAGAATGGTGGCTTGTCTCGCCTTTTAGGGATGTCGTAGGTCTGTGTGCGCTGATTGTTGATGTATCCATGCATGCACATACAGGTATATGTTAATCTCATTTTAATAGTTTCAAGCAGGATGAAAGATCAGAGTCTTTTACCTGTACTTGAAACCAGTTTGGTCCAGATTTGATCTACATTGTCTATTTATACATATGTGTTTTATTCTAGATGGAGCCAATGGCTCTCAGACAGATTGCTAAGGAGGAAATGAATGCTGAGACACAGTAGCATGTCCAAGCTTAAATATAATACCACCTACATTATCATTTCAGAGGCCTTAGGTGATGGAAAAACACACATCAACATCTCGGCTCATCAATCTATCAGGGGAAGATGGCTAAAGCTCTCGGGGTTGTTGCTCACAGTAACAAAGAACAACAGTTTGTAACCTGCACCATAACAATCCTAAATCCCTGGGAACATCCAGACCAACCGCAGAACTGTTATCTCCTTATATACTTTAAGTATTATACATGTATTCTTTTAACAAATAAGGTGCCTCACAAAAGTACTATTCAGATTTTTTCATACTACAACCACAAAAGTTAACATGTTTTAGGGGGTTTATTTATGATAAACCATTGTAGGTTATGATTGTGAGGCGAAATAACAAAAAGACAGATTTTAATTTCTTTAATTATATATAAATAAATAGAAACTGCTGTGCATTTTTATACAACAATTTCTTCATTTTTTGTATCAAAAATGTTATCTTTTTTTATTTAATGATTTTATATTAGTTAATAATTTTATTATCTTTAATTATTTGTGTTACCTTTATGCCATTAAAATATACTTCCTTTTTTTTATTCCTTTTTTTTTCTCTTGTAAAATATCTTCAACTGTATTGTCACTGAATTGTGCTATATGAATTGACTTGCCTTTGCTTGCCTTGCTGTTCACCTTACGATTTAAATAAATTCTAGTAATAACTTATTGCCTTCAAAGTTCCCCTAACTAGTATATGAACAACTTTTTTTCCCCCAATAATAAATACAGCTTTTGTGTGAAGAACTACAGGCTTTGTCCTCTCCTATCACGTTTGCACTCTTGAGAACGGAAGTTGAAGCGTTTCTGACATAAGATGCTCTTTAGTGGATCTCATGTAAAAACAAAGATAATATTTAGAAACCAAATTAACATATTTGCATCACTGTCTTTGTGTCCAGTGCATGGCCGTGCTCCCATCCCCATGGCTGTGGTGCGCAGGGAGCTATCTTGCGAGTCATACCCCATTGAACTACGTTGCCCTGGCACTGACGTCATCATGATCGAAAGCGCCAACTACGGCCGCACTGACGACAAGATCTGCGATTCGGACCCAGCTCAAATGGAGAACACCCGATGCTACCTTCCTGATGCGTACAAGATCATGTCACTCAGGTCAGTATTGACTGGGCAAAGTTGGGAAACCTTGGAATTTATCAGGTGTTACTTTGTCAGTCTTAAGTGTTGTATATGTAGTATGCATGTGTGAAGTGTGCAATCTTAAGTTATGCAGCTGGGACAGAGCTAACAGCATTAACATCAGCTGTTTTAAATGAGCCAAAGAGATCAGAACAACTGTATTTTTGTGTTGTCATCTCTTTTAGTTTATAAGTCAAGCTCTACCTACACATTAATATGCTTTCAAAAAGATCACAGCAACAAACAACTGAGAAAAAACTAGCACTGAAAGTAGTGGAAAGGAAAGAAAACCAGAGGTGAAGGAAAATACACTTAAAGCAGTGCAACTCCTGAGCTCTGCGTCTTGCGGACTTGCTATTAGGAGTTCCTGGCAATGCATTGCAGCACAATAACATAAAGAAATAGGATGGAAATGTGTCAGCTCACCCTTCTCCCCACTCACTTCATCGGTGTGAATAGCTCCTCTCCTGACAGTGTTGTTGTGCAGCACAATGATTGAAGGTCATAAAGTGCTTTGCAGAGGGTTATCAGTTTATTATTGAACGAATGCTCTGTTTCTATCACTTCAAAAGGGCTGTGATAGCCAGTTAAAGAGAGTGTTATTTTCTTTGCTGTGTATTTCCGAGTAGTTGGGATCTCACCTGCAGAAGCCTGAAGAAGGCATTGGCCAGAGTGATTTTAGTTCAGACAGTCTGGGAGAAGATCTTAACAGAGAGTCAAGCCAAATGCCTCCCAGCAAATCCTGTTAAAAAGAAAGTTCAACTATATAAAAACAACACAGATCATATGCTGTTGAAGATTCTCGGTCACCCAGGTCATAATCATCATAAAAAAAAAAGAAAAAAACAATCCAAAATTTGTTTCCAACTTTGAAGACATTTCGCTTCCCATCCAGGAAGCTTTTTCTCCAAACACAAAATCCCAGTACATTTCAAACCTAACAAGTCCCTAAACACAAAACCCAAAGTTATGTTTTTTTTTTTTTTTTTGTCTTTTTATTGAAAAAGCTTCCTGGATGGAAGCTTTTATTATTTTTTGATCTTGTCGACTTTGCAAAGGAAATGCTTTGTACTGTTAAAACAGGAAAATGACTCATTAAAATGTTCAGATTTAATTTAAGAAAACAAATTAGATTATGTCAAGTAATCCATCCCCTGCTTGGATTTTGCATGTTCTTTGGGTGCATGTGTGGTTCTCACATGGTACCGTGGTTTTTCTCCACAGTTCAGGAATGTTCTTAGTTGCCCTATTTCTTCAAATTCTAAGAATACAATTTAACAATAAACGAATTGCTATAAAGAACTCAAGTTTGCATATGACTACTAAAGAGTTTTTGTTTTTATTATTTCAGTGAGTAATCAATATTATTTAGCCATGAGAAGTTGTTTTTTACACGGCTAAATGAGTTGATATGACCATAGACCCTTCTTAAATGAAATTTATATTATTACATGAAATATAAAAAAATAAAATACATTATAAATCACCTCTAAACATCCTGGTACACTAGTAATAAATGTGTAACAAAGTCTAAAAATGAAGTATTTGTTTTGTTAGCGAGTTACTTATTGTGTTTCCCATTGAGTCTCTCAAGAGACTTATTTTGTTTAATCTAGGAACAATTTCCTTAAATTAAAGACAGGATTCTTATATTATTTCTTTGACTGATTGTGCTAAGACATGCATTTGTTTTTAGGCTAATTATACAGTTTTACAATAAAGAGGACCTTTAACAATGAAAGGTAGTGAAAGTTGGCAAGAAGAAATATTAGGCAATTAAAGTAAACAGGTTGTAAATGTTTGCCTTTGTTCATTTTAGAGACAAATGTGGATTTAACGATCTAGTCTGACTTTGCTATTGTTCAAGTTCTTCATCTGGTGCTTCAAGTTCTACTTGTGTTAAAATGGGGAAGAACACTGTAAACATTGCTCAAACTAGACAGTACTTCAGTAGATTAGACGTCATTAAAACCCCTTGTGGTTTCTAGTATCTAAGCTACTAAACTCTTCTATTATAAGCAGGTATGTTGGTCAGAACTAAATGGAAGATACTACCAGGCCCAAGATAGCAATGTTAAACCAGGGCTCTCTGTAATGAGAATGTCTGGATATAAATAATTCAATTATGTCGTCATTAGTATCTGGATTTTTCAGATCATGTGTTACTGTGACTTTGAATGCCCCCCTCCTGCTGTCCCATTATTTCCTCCCCTCGTCTTTCTTCTGCTTTAGTGCTGCTGTTCCGTCTCCTCCCTTCTCTGCGTCTCTGGCAAACCACCTGTCTCTGACATGTGCTGGTGTTGTGATGGCCATTACTTTGGCCTGGCTTGGTCTCTCTAAACACTCTGGCTGTGGCAGCCTGTGTGGCCACTCTCTTGCAGCCAGCCCCCTTCCCATCTATAATTTATATGCAGGCATACACACACACACACTCACGGCATGTTCCACACATAGCATACGCTGCCCAGGGGCTATACCAGACTTTAAGCTCCAATTAGCAGAGCCAGAGGCCAAACTTAATCTTGAGGGATCCTCTGCGGAGGTGACTTAGACCGGAAACAACCGTTTATCACCTATATTTGAGGTGAGAATATGTGATTGTGTGTCGCTGTTGGCAAGTTTTATTTCATGCAAGCAGTACTGTATGTGCAAAGCAGTAAACAGAGATGTGTTTTGAAGAAATGCACACAGTGAGTCAGTCAGTGTATACACATGCACATATCCAATATATGTGTTTGCAAACTTGTTAATGTACATTAAAGGCTTTATTGTGGCTTTTCCACGCATTGCAGGGGAGAGGTTGTTTTCTATGAATTCAAATCTTGCACCACTCTCACATGCCTCCTTACTCAGTCTGTTTCAGGTTGTCTGGTTCCCACTCTATCATTCCCTCTGTGTCTGTATCATCTCTGGCTTTCAAGCTCAGCTCAACTGACTGATAAAATCAGAGCATGTTCCGCCTGCCCAGTGTTTCCCAAGTATCATATTCCCTTTTTGTTTTCTCCTCCACCGCACTCCAAGGCCAGCCAAAGGCGTGCACACGAAAGCTGTGTGACGATACATGTGTGCATGTGTGTACACATGTGTGTGCATGTGTGTGCCCAAACGGCATAATTGGTCCTGATATCAAAGGCTCATATCTCTAGAGAGTCTCACAAGACTTCTCAGGCAACTTAGAAAGGACCTGATACTGCTGCATTTACCATATTATCTTCCCATCGGTATATAGTGGTTTGAAAGGGAAATGAAGGCTTGGCCATGAAAGGTGTGCTTAATCTGTTTTACTGGTACACTGGCGTCAGTTCAATGACTCACTGCTTTTATATATATATATATATAAATTTAAAGAAAAATGCAGCTGAAAATTTGTTGCAATAAATGGAGTTTTCGGCTTCCTTGGATTTCTTTTAATTTTTTTTTAATCTTAAATAGACCTAGACATGCACTTATCAGAGATTTGTGTCCATTTTCACATCTCTGATTGACTCCAACTTTAGCCTTGCTCCAGTTTCTGTTACAGGATTAAGAATACTGTTTTCTTGCCCTCTTGCCATGATACTAATTAATTATTCATAGCAGAAGCAGAGGAGACATTAAACTGTGTAAACTAAACTATTTTACATTGTCTGTGTTAAGAAGTACCACAATTAGCAAAGGAAAGTGCCTGCTCCATATCAAAACACCAAATTCCCCAGTGCTGTTGTGTCAGTTTTCCTTTTTCTATACATAACCTCAGTAGTAGTTTAGAATTTTTAAAGTAGTTTTATATGTTTACATATGCAGCAATCAAAGATTAAACAATATTTGGCAAGTCTTTCTGATGGTTTTTCAATGTTTTGAACATAAATTGTATTCCACTTCATTTCTTCAAGAAATGCATTCCTAAGGTCAGACATTAATCTTTGTCTCTATATGTGTTCTCCAAATCATCCCAATAGTTTTACACCAGGTTGAGTTTCAGACTCTACATGCCGGTCAAGTTCTACCACACTAAACCCTTGTCTTAATGGATCTTGTGTGGTGCACCGGTGAAAGATCCTGTTAGAACTGAATGAGCCATAACCAAACTGTTTCCACAGATCAGGGACTTAAAATTGTTCAAAATGTCCTTGGCAGTTACAGTTTCTTTATAACTGTAATGCAGAAGCAAATTGTTCACACCATGATGCTGTTAAATTCAACTTGAGGAGATCTGTGCTGTAGTTGAAAATGTACCTTTATGGCAAATTTTACAAATTCAATCTATAAGGCTCTTACCTGTGACTACTCTCCAGTCATGGGCTCAGCTCTGGCCTGTTGCCATGCCTTCATGAAAACCAATCACCGTACAGGACATCTCTGCTTCCTGCTAAACAGCATCCCTCCTCTGCCCCTTATCCACTTTCATCTCACAGGACGCCCTACAGCTGCCCTCATTCTCTATTGGCCATTCCACAAGTTTCAGTCTTCGGGGGGGGATAGACATGTCTAATCGAGCCCTACCTGGCTATGGAGAACTGCATTTAACTTCAATGTCTTCTTCTGAGTTCTTGGTGGCAAATTAATTTTTTTCATGTCAATGAAACTTTTAATTTGCAACTTTTTCTGTTTGAGTCTCTCCAGCCTAAATTAATGTTCATCATGCCTTTTAGATAAACAAATTAATCACCTCTACACCAACTTGGACATGATGCAGTCAGGCAAGTACTGTTTTGTTGGCAAGTATCAAATTCAGACACTTGCCAGACACTCCACTGGATTCCCGTACAGGGAGGCAATGTTCTCTCATAGGGACATATTTCCATTCAAATAGAGTGCAGTGATGGCATGCTTTACACTATTGTGTCTAATGGCAGGCACTGTACTTTGCCATATACGGTATGGATGCAGGTTCTAGAACTGATCTCAAGGCCACATAAAGAGCAGAGGACTGTAGCTACTGACTCTGCAGAAGGTTGGCAACCTCTGCATACTTTGCACCTCAACACCTGCTCACC